TGCGTCCTGAGTCGACTGCACACAAGGGCGTCCGGCATGAAGTAGTTCCTCAAATTCCTCGAGTCAGAGAGCGTTGAAATCGACCCCGTTAAGGCATGTGCCAACAAGGATCCCTCTGGTCAATGTTTTGCGGCTGTCATGGAGAAATTTGCCCTCTACCTTTCGGCTTACGGGAAGAGAGCGTAGCGCTGTCCAAAAGTTCGTGTATTCAATGCTACTGACAAGCGAAGATGTCATTGCTCGACGAATTCCCACGTTCACCCAGGAGGCTCCAATCCAGAATGACTGACTCCTTCCGGCCTCTCGAATCTATATCCTGATCTTCGTTATGATTGGTCAGAGAACTTGCGTGTCTATTGTACAGTACATAATGCAATTGTGTCGGACCTTTCGTGTGATGGAAGGGTCTTTGGCGCCGAAGGTATACACAAACATCCTCTACTCAACACACACTCTCTAAACTATTAGAAGTCATGGGTCGAACGAAATTCGTAACCCGCGCTCACGGGTCGAAATCCGTAACCCAAGGGTGGCAAGGAGCTGTCAAACATAACGAAGTTGGAAGCCACGAGGTCAAGTCAATTGTACGCTGTAGTCGACAGGATGGATAGTGAACGCGGCGACCCACCTCTAAAGCAAGACTCTTCAGCGAGGGTGAAGTTCAATGCGTTCCTCGATGGAATCGGACGCCAAAATAAGTTCGAGACGCTCAAGAAGCGGGACGTGACGAAGTCCTTGGTGGGGCGTTTCGGTTGCGACAACGTACTTTGGGAAACATTCATGAAGTACCTGAGTGAAATTAAGCGCCAACTCGAAGAAAGGCCCAAAGTCGACCTGATCGCTTAAGAGAGTGACTGGTATCGCATATGCAGACGAAACTTGCACCAAAAGCACGTGTTGGAAACACTACGACAGGTCAGAGGCTAAAAAATCACGCGTCGAAAATGACTTTGGACGACCTTTTGACTTTGTGTCAAATTCTCTTCGTCCAATATGATTCTCGGTCTCTGAGTCTCTGTAGACCGAACGCTACAGAACAATCAGTAGCTTTCCATTGGAAGAGGCTCTGACATTGACAACTTGCTCTTCGAGGAACTGTATTGGGTGGACAACTTTTAGCTGGTCGACCTAACCAGGTACTTCCTCTGTTCCACATTACTGACGACATTTTCAAATCACTCTTTTTCCATATTACTGGTGACATTTCAATCCGATTGGTCAATAAACGAGAACGTGTAATTGGATAAAAACCTGAATGGCCACTTAGCCAAGAAGTGAAACAGGGCACGAGAGATTGGACATGAGCGCCCTGGCACGACGCAAGGC